CTTTTTCAATTGTTTGTACTGTTTCCCTTCTTAATTTCTTATACATTTCTTTTTTTCTTCCAATTTTACATGCATATCTGATAATATGAATAACTGGTTTGAAGACAGCACTATGTTAGTTTACATTAGTACTGTTAATACTAAAGTTCTCACCAACCTTATTCATCTTCTTGAGATCTAATGAGACCTGACATAGTGAGAACTTGAGAGAGATACTCAAAGGAGCCAAAGTAGTTGTCTACATAGAAGTTTTTTGGCTTTTTGTAAAAATACCTTGATTCTTTCTCTTCCCTCCCCTCTCCCGCTCTCTTCTCCCCTATTCTACTCCTCCTCCTCTTCTTCTTCCTCTTCCTCCTTTTCCTCCTCTTCCTCCTCCTCCTTCTTCCTCTTGTCTCTGTCTGTCTTTTTATGTATTTAGGGTCTATGGGGTCTACATGGTCTCATTACATAGATCAGACTCATAGTGAAATCTGTCTATCTACCCACCCACCCACCTACCTACCTACCTACCTACCTAACTATCTCTGCAGCACTGGAAATTAAATGTAAGGTTTTTCTAATGCAAGTCAGGTACTCTGCCACTGTGCTTCATTCTCAGACATATTTTGTAGAATATTTCACTATAAAGAAATTGAAGTAATTTGGATTAGAAACCATACATTTTGCTATGTGAATGTCTACTCTTTAATTTCACCTTCTTATTCTAGCTAAACAACAGTATCATTCTTAGTGATGCTAAGTTTCAGAATTAAAGTTTGGTTTTTGTTTTGTTTCTATAATAAAGAATTAATGTGGAAGAATGTTTTACTAAAATGTTTACTAAAAGCAACCATTAACTTTACTTGAAAAAATTGAATGGACACTAGTATAATGGCTATACTTGTAATCCAAGCTACTCAGGTATGGAGGACCATCTGTGCAGCTCTCCTTGAAAGAAGAGCGACTGTCTCCATTTTGACTGAGCCTGACCTTATTTCCTCTTATTGTTATGTACAGAGCTGGCTAGGACTTCAGTTTATCCTTCAATTGGCCTTAAGCAATGTGTATTGGTCTAGCTGAGGTGCTGGTGATAGTCTTTGAAGGTGGCGTGCGTGTTTCCCTGGTAACCTACACCTACTGCTCTTTAATGTGAGTTGGGTCAAGACAGGACAGTAGAGCTAATGCTCCACAGCGCCAGCTGGGATTGAGCCTCAAGACAGAGGCTATGACTTCCTGGGGCTTGAAAGACTGCATCAGAGCTGAAGCACCAGACTTACCAAAACATTAGATGCTATATAATGCAAATTGCGCTCTCAGCATATCCTCTCTACATATCACAGAGGTAAATGTAGGCCACCCACCTAGCTCAGCTCACAATGATCACCTACTTCCCACAATTCTCAGTCAGTCCTCCTTAAGCCACTCCCCTACTGAATAAAAACCGAGTGAGACCCTGGGTCACTCTCTTGGTTCCAGAAAGCCATCTTCATGGCTGGACTTAGAGCCCTTGACTCCCCGATGATTGAAGATATAATTTAGTGTCTTTATTTTCGCCATGGGTTGCATTGTAAGTGGTAGATTGGAATCAACTTGATGGGATTCCAATAATGTAACTTGGGGATTACAAATACTGGCTTCTTGGACCGAGACAAGGACCTGGAAGTCATAGCCTTTTCCTACACTCAGGAAAATCAAAATTCTCAGGATAGCCTAGGTAACGTAGCAAGACTGTGTTTCAAAATCAAAAAGGGGGCTGCAGAGATAGCTCAGTGGTCTAAGCACCTACCTGGAAAGCACAAGAACCCAGGCTCAATCCCTGGTACCATATGCCATGCTACCCTGGAACTGCCACCGAAACCAGACATGGTGACACATGCCAGGAATCCCAGTACTGGGGAGGCTGAGACAGGAAGATCACTACAAATCCAAGCTGCATAGCGAGACTCTATACCAAATAAATAAATAAGTGATTTTTAAAAAAGGAGAAGGGGATAGGGTTGTAGGTCAGCAGTAATTGCACCTGAGTTCAATCCCAGAAAGGAAGGAAAGGAGGGAAGAAAACATTTTTCTATATCTGGGTTCTACCAAAGTATCTAGTGTGTTCTGATTGCTCCTTTATTTCTAGTGCCTAGAGATGGTAGATACATAGGAATATTTGCTGAACAAATGTATTAGGCTCATGGAAAGTAGTTGAAAAGATGCCACATAATAATCATTCTATTTATACTTTCCATTTGAACAAACATCTTGACATGTTCAGGATCATTTTAGTTTTCCTTTTTTATTTTTCAGCTGATATTTGAAATATACCTATTCTGTAAGTGAATAATATGCAGATTTCTTGAA